TAACGTAGTTTAGTTTTAACGTATAGTTATAAAGTTTTCATCTGTGTACATAAACTTGTATTTTAAACCTGATGTTATTTATACAAGGTCCCGATGAATACCAGCCTTTGAGCTGAACGGGCTACTCTAGTCTGTTTAAACAAAGTTTCACTTTACTTTACTTTAAAAAGATAGTGGATTATTTCATTTTAGAGTTGAACGGGCTTCTTAAGGATAAAAACCTGACATATATATTCGAATTCGCCATTTTAGAGAAACTAAAAGATAATTTAAACTCTAAATTATGGCGTTCTATGGATATGGAGGGAAGTGGCTTTGGTATTCCTTTTTGATTAGCGTTTTGTAACTCGTACGTTTGAACAATGAACGCAGCTAACACAGAAAACATTGTTGTCGCTACCACTATTATAAATAAACGCACTGAACGATGTATTATTGGCATTTATGGAGAAAGGGTTCTGACATTATATTTTCGTTTCTTTTTCAGTTGCAAAACAAATTAAACCTAAAGATTTGGTGGTCAAGATGCAACCAAAAGAGTACGCTTTTATTCATATTCTTGGGATATTTGAAAACTTTCTTATTATTAGAATTTGCAATTATTTGTGGCCTAGAAATAACTTGCGAGTCCCATTTCTAAGCAAAAACGATCAATTTTTGTTCGTTCGTTAATTCATTTGTTCGTTCGTTCACACGGTTCGCATATTGTAAGCTACGCATTTATTTTTGAACCAGAGTGATAGTCCCTCACGACCAGCACAATTCGCTTCCAACCAATAATTTTTCAGGCATTCAATCTAGTTAGTTGGGGCGCAGCGCGAAAAAACGGAGGAGCGAGAGAAAAGGAGAGAGAGGGCTTTTTCGTGAGGCATTTTTCGCGCTACGCCCCAACTAACTGCAAGCCTTGAAGAGGCTAACCTTTTCCTTGAAATACAACCATGTCATCCACGACCCAACGGTAACAGGGGAAGTAGAAGGTTTCCTCTTGCTTTGAGCTTGTGACGGTAATCTTGTTAACAAACCAGTCTGAGAACCATCCCGAGCCGTCGTTGTAAAGATGAACCATCAATACCTCTCCAACATCCATCGCTTTTATTTTGTATTCGTCTGTGTGCCCAGCTTCAAAGTCATTCTTCCAGGAGCTAAGAGAATGTTTCTCTGTTTTCCCTTTGGTTCCTAAAACGATTAAATTCCAGTAAACTTGAAAAATAGGTTCAGTTCGTTTTAAATTTAATCATTTTTCCTCACCGGCGCGAAATAAAGTGCCTTTTAAGAACCCTCAGTGATCTAATTTGGAAAATGTAAAGCTCAAAGATAAATCAGCTTAATGGGCTTAGGTCAATTTATAATATGTAAGCATATTAAAGAGGACAAAAAATAGTTCTTATCAAAGCAGCTCCTTTACCTGTGAGCGACACAGAAATGTTTGCATTGGTTCCTTCCTTCTTCTGAGCACCAGTCTCCACGCTTATGACATATGTGGCTTCGTGATCTGGTTCCTGGCTTGAGCTTCTCATTGATCGAATCTTCTGTGACCTCTCGTATACCTCCTTTCTTATATGAGCTATACAGTTGGAATCATAAATAGTGCGAGCCGGTAGAAAATAAATAGAACTCGGCAGATTACCACAGTTAAACTTTAATCCTTCAGTAACATCCGGGGTAAGGAGACCAGTCATTGTGACGTCAGCCACGTCCAGCCAGGGGTGGGTAGCCTCGTCCCAATACCTCGCGATATTTAGAATGGCCGGTGGGTCGTCTGTCCTGGCCTCGTGTAGAGTTAACTGAAGCTTGTACTTGACAGGTCCACGAGAAATTCTCTCCTTAAACTCTTCCTTCAAATAGTCTTTGGCTCTTGTCTCTGAGGGCAGTCTTTTATTGTCCCTACAACCACGAAATACGAGGTTAGACTCCTTTGACAATGTAGGTATTTGCCATTCTCAATTTTAATTTTAAATTCTTGCTGTAGCTGGATTAGTCTAACCGTGATTCCCGCTTTGGATTGCCGCCATTAGTCAATTCAAAACTAGTCGAGCGCAATTTGGAGAGTTGGAATTAGCCCAAGCAAGAACTGACGTCACACACACTGCTCCGCAGTAAAAGCTTAACGTGGTATGTATGCACGAGAGGGTCACATGTTCTTCTCGAGTTATAAGCGACAATATATCTCCTTTCCCCATATGCTATGCAATTATCATCGGTTGAGTGTATGACGCCACGAACAAAATCCGCGGAAGACAAATGAAACTGCGTTATGGTAAAATTGAACATTTTGCGAACTAGCAAATATCATTCTTAAAATGTTACTTAGAAAAACATACAGAAAAATAAAAAGAAAGGTAAATGATTAATGATTACTCAGAAGGGGGACTTAATATCTAGATAAGGAAAAATATGGAGGTGAAGTAACAATAACTGGAAATCTAAACATAAAAGACAGTCCTAGCATTATTAAAGTATCAGATCCTTTTCTCAAAGAAATTCTTGGAATCTGATCAGAAGCCAATTATGAAGAAAAGATTGTATCAGATTATCACTTTCGGTTATCGCTCTTATGGTATAATTCACTTATAAGAGTTGGGAATAGACCAGTGTTTTTTAAATAATGGTCCCTTAAAGGAATAACAAAAGAAGAACATTTATGGATGACTCCCGAAAGTTTCTCTTGCTCACTGCTTTCAAACTATACACGACCTGACAGCCCGACCTTTAACCTTTCTTGG